GTAAAAAAGGGGTGGAGACCCATTCAAGTCATGGTGTCCTGGTTTAGTGTGATCCACTTGTTAAGACCCAGGATTGATGTGCAGATGTGTATTCTATGGTAGGTTTCTTTTATCATCACTTAGGTGGTGTAGCATTGCAAATCCAATTCTCTGGTTAGATGTGTCTTTCAAGGTTTGCCAACCCATCTTTCTTGTTATTTCTACCTTAATATTTTTACTTAAGGGATGTGATTTTGGGCCGCTATGGCCATTCAGCTCCACTCTTGTGTGGTCTAAGACCCCTTTCACACAGTCATTCAGTCTGGATATGTCTGTCAGTTTTTCAGACAGCTCAAGGCTGAACCACAATGTGACTCTATAGACAGGTGGATGTAATGAAAATATGTTAATTTACATCTGCTTACATCAATGTATTTCCTTAGAAAAATGGAACAGGTCTGTATTTTTTGTTTTGTGGACATAAATTGTTGTAAGCAGATGTAAATGGATGTTGTACATTTAAGTCCTTTCTAATTAGGTCTGTTTTTAGTCAAGAAACTTTTTGTTTGTTTGTACTTTTGTCACTTATGACTTTGTTTCTTCAACAACAAAAAACTGGTTTCTTCTTCTCCTTAAAAAAAAACAGATTGAAACATGAATGTGAATTTAACAGATGTGCAAACTTAAGTAAACTGATGTAACCCAAAGCAGTATTCATCAGTTTTTTTTTTCTTTACAAAGAATGTGACTAAATTGATGATGCTCGTGTGAAAGCACCCTTCAGTTATTTTGGTTGATTACAAGTAATAAAACTTCCATGTAGGGCAGCATGCACATAGGGATGAATGCCTAGAATGCAGACTGCTTGCATTCCAGGAATTCATCCTTGGGCACATACTATCTTAAATGGATATACTGCTTGATGCACTGCTCAACCCCATCCAGCTACCTGTCAGATATATGATGGAGATTGATGAGGGGTTTTTTCTTGCACCTATTGTACAACACATCTGTAAATAACAAGGAGTGTGAGGATAAGGAGTGATACAAGTATTGGAGTAGGTTCAAGAACAGCAGGAGAACCAATCTTTAAGATGCTGTTATGAGACTAAAAATGGGTGAAAACACAGAATGAAGTAAAGTACAGCTGAATCTTGTAGTAGGGTACAGGATAGTATTCTGCAGTACTAGCTGAGGTAAGGATCAGGCATATAGCAGGTGGCATCAAAACAGCAGGAAATATTCAAGTTCAGAAGACAAGCCAAGGTCAGGTTCCAGTGGGCAGCAGGAAGTACAAAATCAGCAGGTATTAAGTGAGGTCAAGAGACAAGCTAATGTCAACATCAGGTGGGAAAGCAGGTGGTACTAGCACAGCAAGCAGTAATGAAGGTCAGGAAAGCAAACTAGGGTTGGACACAGAAGGCAGAGTGCCAAAACCAGATTTGAAAATGAACTGGGTTAGTAACAGGAAATCAGAAGCACAGGTTCAAGGCATAGGAATAGCTACATAAAAATCAGCAAACATTCCAAGTCATGCTGGGGTTTAAATAGGTTGTTTGTAATCAGTACTGGATGTAAACTTTGACCAAGGTACATGCAGTAAGATTCTCTCATGGACACACACAGGCACATGCAAAAGGGGAAGCATCCAGTTGTGAACTTAAACGCAGTGTGCTGACATGTTAATATTAGTTCTTCTGCATAGTTATGGACCTAACCTTTGGGACACTACAAAATCTATATACATAAGATTTAAAGGCAAGTGAGCAAAGTTAAGGAATAAACGCTTTTAAAGAAAATCTGTGCTGAGAGAAACATGGAGGCTACTGCTGCTTTCTAAAAATGCTACTTGACTGGCAGTCTGCTCTCAATACTTTCAGAGTTATTGACCTGGAACAAGCATGCAGCCACTGCATTCAGAACACCTAATCTGCATATTTTGTGTGGGTTAGTGACCTACAAGTATTAAAGCATTGGATCTACTTAACAGTCAGTAGGGTTCAGCAAAGTCTGCCTATACATTTTATTATCGCAGGTTCCATGACTGGAATAATGCAAAAAATCTGAATATTCAGTCTTCAGTTATAACTGTGTAGATTCTCCTAATTGAAACTTCAATGCACACTCATAAAAGTCATGCACCTGACAACCTTCTTACTCTGGTGACCTCCGACTCTTAACTGTCAAGATGAATTGTCAGACTTAGGCAAAGTAAGTAAACCAACAGTTATAAGAATTTAAGACTGAATATTCAGATTTTTCCATAACCTCAATTATGACTTGACAGGGGAAGAAGAAGGCGAATAGGTGAAGAATATGCCAATCTATTCTCTGTATCACAGCTTCTGACTTTAAAGCAGCCATTATAGATACTATGATAATATAGAAATTGTATTTGTATTTCAAACCTATGGAAATACAGTACATATTTCTAAGAAACTTTTCTGCTAGCAATGACCCTTTTCTGTGATGTATTGTGTTCTAGTTTAAAAGCATTGAAAAAGAAAATGTTAAGCAAAGGTAAATCTTTGTTTTAACAACTTAGATGTAAGGCAATTTAGAAACAAGCAGATTTTGATGGGGCTATGTGATCTTCCAATTCTTTCCAAATGATCACCACTTGTTTGGTTCAGTTGCTGTAATAGCCTCCCTATTGTACAGTACAATCACCATGACTTGCAATGTAATGATATTTCACACTAAATGAATATAAGAACTTCACTCTGATTCACAAGCTCAGCCAAAAGTATTAAAATGAGAGCTATAAATGCATTGCTTTCAACATACATATGGGGTAAGTGTAGGAAACTGTTGATTGATTCTTGAAGTGACAATGTCATGAGAAAATCACAGAGACTGCCATTGCTGATCATTTCTTATGAAAATGCTAGTTGCCTGATTGTCATGTTGATGCATTGGTTTCAATGCCTACTTAGTCACTAACCTGAAACAAGTGCAGAAATAAAGAATCCTGACACTTTTCTAACACTCATTTACATTATGTTTGTTACATAGTTAGTCTGCCTGAAAAAGACACAAGTCCATCCAGTTCAACCCAAAACAAAAAGTTATAATCCTATATCCACAGTTGATCCAGAGGAAGGCAAAAAAAAAACCCCCAGGAAAACATGATCCAATTTGCTCCTGCATGGAAAAAAATTCCTTACTGATCCCCCCGAGAAGCAATTGGATATTCCCTGGATCAACTTTACCTATAAATGTTAGTATCCAGTTATATTCTGTGTATCTAAGAAAGAATCCAGGCCTTTTTTAAAGCAATCCACTGAGCTGGCCAGAACCAACTCTTGAGGGAGTCTATTCCACATTTTCACAGCTCTTACTATGAAGAAAGCTTTCTGTGTTTGGAGATTAAATTTCTTTTCCTCCAGACGTAAAGAGTGCCCCTTTGTCCACTGTGATGACCTCAGGGTGAATAACTGTACACCGAGTTCACTATATGAACCACTGATGTATTTATACATGTTGATCATATCCCCCCTTAATCTCCTCTTCTCAAGAGAGAATAAATTCAGTTCCTCTAATCTTTCCTCATAGCTGAGCTCCTCCATGCCTCTTAGCAGTTTGGTTGCCCTTCTCTGTACTTTCTCCAGTTCCCCAATGTTCTTTTTGTGAATTTTTTGCCTAAAACTGAACTGCATATTCCAGATGAGGTCTTACTAATGATTTGTACAGGGGTAGAATGATATCTCTCTCTCTGGAGTCTATACCTCTTTTAATACAAGAGAGGATATTGCTCGCTTTAGAAACCGAAGCTTGGCATTGCATGACGTTATTAAGCTTGTGATCTACCAGACAATTTTTAAGAGTCCAGCAATGACAGCTCCTGTGCCACTCTCATGACAGGGTCACTTTAAATGTGCTACAGTGTTAGATTTAGGGAGTGTACAATAAAAATATAATTGTCACATGAGACTAGTAGTGTTTATATTTGATGCAGAAGAACTGAGTAGCATAAGGCTACTATTCATGATACTATTTGTTTTGAAATTATTTAAGCTAACTTATTCCTGATATCCATGATACTATTTGTGTTGAAATTATTTAGGGAAAATCACTAAAATGTTCATCAATGTTGGAATGTTAATCAAATTCTAAACATTATTGAGATAGTTAGTTCTCTATATTTTGAACCTGTGATATGAAAGATCCTTTTAACTGGAGACAAATAAAATGATCTGGGAGTCCACATTATGAAGCTAATCATTATTTGTATAAAAAAAAAATAAACTGCTTTTGATCCATAAATAGAATGAAACAAGATGTATTTGCATTTTGTCTGGGTGTCATATTGATTATATAATAATTAAAGAGAACATGCAGTATGGAAGCTGTACCCTAAAAAGGCTAAATAACAAACAAACTAAGGTCTAATCTCCAGTATTGCTTGTAGGTTCCTTACACCTGATTCCTTTCCCATTACCGACTTACTTTGTTTTGTTATGCACTGGATGAATATATCAAGAATTTAAGTGCTACGCCATGTCATGTCAAGTCCAGATACAAGTTTATTCCAAGGACAGACTGTCTACAATTCAAGCACATTTTGGGGGCTGTAGCCCTGAAGAAGGGGGTGAGGCTACAGCACCCAAAACATGTTGGCTTTATAAACAGTTTTTCATTGCAATAAATGTGTAGCTGGATATGAATATTATATATGCAACCATATTATTTTAGTTTTTTTTTATTTTTACTTCACTCCACCTAAAATATTTCAGTTTGTTGTTCAACTGAGTTGTACAGTGTATAGGTTACATCAAAGGTGGTAAGAGCTTTGAAATGATTTATTTACATAATTTGTTTACATTACAAAAACTTGGTGTGTAGACTTTTTATATACACTTTGTTTGTATGTGTATATATATATATATATATATATATATATATATATTATATATTTATATTATATTGCCAAAAATATTGGGACACCCCTCCAAATCATTGGATTCAGGTGTTCTAATCACCTCCATGGCCACAAGTGTATAAAATCAACCACTTAGGCATGCAGACCACTTCTACGAACAATTGTGAAAGAATAGATTGCTCTCAGGAGCTCATTGAATTCAAGCGTGATACCATGATTGGTTTCCACCTGTGCAATAAGTCCATCCGTGAAATTTCCTTGCTATTCCATTCCATGCTCAACTGTTAGTGGTATTATCACAAAGTGGAAGCAACTGGGAACAACACCAACTCAGCCACAAAGTGGTAGGCCACGTAAAATTACAGAGCGGGGTCAATGCATGCTGAAGCGCAGAGTGCGCAGAAGTCGCCAACTGTCTGCAGAGTCAATAGCTAAAGACCTCCAAACTTCATGTGGCCTTCAAATTAGCACAACAACAGTGCAGTGCAGTGCAGAGAGCTTAATTGAATGGGTTTCCATGGCCGAGCAGCTGCATCCAAGCCTTACATCACCAAGTGCAATGCAAAGCGTCGGATGCAGTGGTGTAAAGCACGCTGCCTCTGGACACTAGAGCAGTGGAGACGTGTTCTCTGGAGTGATGAATCAGTTTTCTCTGTCTGGAAATCTGATGGATGTGTCTAGGTTTGGCGATTGCCAGAACGATACATGCCTGACTGCATTGTGCCAAGTGTAAAGTTTGGTGGAGGGGAGATTATGGTGTGGGGTTGTTTTACAGGGGTTGGGCTTGGTCCATTAGTTCCAGTGAAGGAAACTCTTAAGGCATCAGCATACCAAGACAATTTGGCCAATTTCATGCTCCCAACTTTGTCGGATCAGTTTGGGGATGGCTCCTTCCGGTTCCAACATGACTGTGCAGCAGTGCACAAAACAAGGTCCTTAAGACATGGATGAGAGAGTTTAGGGTGGAGGAACATGACTGGTCTGCACAGAGTTCTTACCTAAACAGGAAATAACACCTTTGGGATGAATTAGAGCAGAGACTGTGAGCCAGGCCTTCTTGTCCAACATCAGTGCTTGACCTTACAAATGCGCTTCTGGAAGAATGGTCAAACATTCCCATAGACACACTTCTAAAGCTTGTGGACAGTATGAACAAGCTTAAAGACATTTGGTTGACTCCCATACAGCAACTTAAAGTTTCTATTATGACCAAATAAGCTTACAAAAATGTGTATGGTACATGCAAATTGAGACTCTTGGGAAGTTTTAACGCAATTAAATATGCTAAATCTTTTTTTTCAAAAATAGTTTACTTATGGTTGTTTTAAATGTTGGCAATTTTACAGGGGTATGGGTGTGAGCTTTTCTTTGCCATGCCATGTCAATAGCTCCGCTTTGCTTTCTCAAAAAGGAATAATAATTGCTCCGTATATACATTACATAGTGTGCAGCACAGGGGCGGGCTGACCATTTGGAAACTCGGGCACGGCCTGAGGCCCGGGGGTCAGTAGGGGGCCCCATGAGATGTCCCTGGTACCTTTTTCATAGGCTTTTTTGAGTTTGGGCAAGCACACAGGGGCCCCATGATCCCCTATTGCCCGGGGTACCCAAGAGTTGTCAGTCCGCCCCTGGTGCAGCATGAGAAGTAAGGATAAGGACAATGCCTTGGAAGATATTTTTATTGATCCAACATCATTTACAAGTTACACTTTTGACAGTATGAACAAGCTTCAAGACATTTGAACATTTGTTCATTTTATTCTAACTGTATAAATGTCAAGGTCCTACCTTTTCCCTGAGGTTATGTTACTCCATGTGCTGGCGTCCATCTTGGATTCTGCTGTGCATGATGGGAATCCTTTTATGCCTTCAGGTTTCTGGGGTCCATCCCCCAGAGGGGTGTGGCTGATGACATATAAGCCTGTGGCCCGCACATGCTCTTTGCACTTGTGTCTTGTGTCTTTGTGTTGCTATTACTCTGTTCTGACTCTCGTGACTCTCCTGGTATCTGATTCGGCTTGTGACTTGACTATTCTTTGTATTCTCCTTTGATCTGACCCTCTGTTGCTGAACCCGGCTTGTGACCTGTGATTCTCGTCTGCTGTCCTGTACTGTTTTGTCCTGTTGTTGTTGACCCCGGCTTGTCTGACTACTCTTTTGTCTCTTCCACCAGCTACACGCCATTGGCGGTGGCCATTACCGCAGCTGAGGTGTCTCGGGGACCGCGACCTGGTTCCTGGCTGCGTCAAGTCCATCCCCACCATCAGGGGCTCTGGTGAAGGGCAGCCTGGGACTTAGACTCCGCACCCTGAGGGACTTCGGTCTGTGGGTGGTGGTTGTCGTCAGCCAGTGCGTTACATTGTTAGGCCTGCCTGTCCGTTCCTCAGCTCCTGCCCTGACAATAAATATGTGCCTTGGGATATGAATGTATGCCTACAGATAGTTGTTTACCCTCTATATTGGAGGCTAAGTGGTTAGGAGTTTTATCACTTTTGTTTTGTATGTTTAGCATTTAAAAGTGTTTAAGACATCTTATTTGAAAAAAAATATTTTGTTTTGCATTGACAGAATGTACTAGAATGCTCCATTTAATTTGTATCCATTTATTATGCATCTTTGCCATATCCAGAAATGTTCTTTTTGCTATCCTACATAGAACAGTGAAAGAACTTTATTCAATAACACTAACTGTTTGTTTTACATGAAAATGGATTGCTTGAATTCTGTATCATAATTGATTTATTGACTTGTGTATCAAGCTGGGTATTTGTGTTTCTGATGCTGAAATCATTGCTTGTACTGGAAATTCAAAATTATATTAAAAAAAAACAAGACAACAATTGACTTGTTCCAATTTTGTTTATAAAATTTATGAGTGAGAAAGGCATGCACCAAACTGTAAATATAAACCGTAATGTAAGCAATTAGGGAAGAGCACATGTTCATTTGGCATGACCTACCATAATCAATATTTTCAACAGATTGTGTGTTGGTTTTTTTTTTGTTAAGTCTGAAGTACTTTTCTCCACTGTGTAAATCTGTAGTTGCATGAAATATATCCATAAACTCTGCAAGCCCTCAAACGTCTTGCTTTGGCATAGCCTTAGGATAATTTGACTTTTCACAATACTGCTATATTGTCAAATCACTTTGTAAGGTTGCATCCTTTGAAAGCAATGTGCTGGACAAATACCTTTATTACAGATTTTGATACCTTCGTTAAAAGGCTGTCTTCTTTCTGCTTCATGGCTTTCATTTCTTAAAGCATATATGGCCTTTATTTGTCAAAGCAGCTATTATTTCCATTACAGCATTAGCAAACTTTTTGCTCATCTATTCTGTATCCCATTACTTATTCTTGCAGTGTTCCAATTTGACCCAAACACTACATATTACCACTGCACTAAAGCAAAACACTATTGTAAGTCCTTGACCCCAATTTAAAAGTCCAATCCTAATATGATAAAGACACAAGTAATGTACATCAATTCAAGGCACAGATCAGTTAATAGAAAAAAATACTTTAATATTTAGATTCACTTTCCAGTTTCTTAATTTACATTTAAGCAGAATTTAAAAAGGCTAAAAAAAAATCAGCAGTGCAGATTTCCACAAAACATTAAACTTTTTTAATACTGTGTAATTTGAAGCTATCTTAAATGCATGTGTCCTTGCATGTTTAATTAGTATAAACATTATTATAACAATTAATATTCTGTAAAATGGCATTTGCAAAATCAGGCATAAAAAATAAGCTCATGGTTCAGTCCTGCCTTTAATTTATCAGACTCAATTTAGCACTGTAGCTTGTTTCCCAGTAAACATCTTTTAGTAACTGTTAGTTGAATGAATCCAAATTTAAAACAGAAAAGTGCTGTTGGTGAATAGATGTCATGCAGATATACAGACAAAGGCTCAAAACAGTATGTGTAATGCATAATTTTGTTGATAACCTTGTTAGTATTCATTTTATGCTGTATTCAAAATGCTTAAACACAGAGCATGCATCAAAAAGTAGCTTTGGCAGTTTAGGCCAGACTCTCTTGTTAAAGGTTCAGCAGTTACAACAATCAAGGTTGTCTCTTTCTGGCAGCAGGAAATATAATGAGCGAATTCTGACTTGAAATTATATTCATGAGGTACACAATGTGATCTGATGAATAAACTGCATGAGTGAAATAACAAAAGTTCAAATGCCCCTCAATCCTAAATTTAGATGTTTTCTTTGAATCTACAGAGAGGAAGTTATGTTTGTAGTTGATTATTAACCCTGGGTGCAAGTCCAGTGCTTTTTCAAAGTGATTAGCTTGCATATTATATCTTGAAGCCACTAGTTCGAGCTCTAAATAATTAAATATTCCTTAAATAAAACATTTCAAAAACACAATTGTAAACATTTGAAAGTGAAAGCACATTAATGAAGAAGAAGCTATATGATATTCAAGCAGAAGCTCCCTCAATAAGGACATTTTGATCAAACTTGTATTTGTTTTTGTAGCTCTGTCTACCAAACTGATAAAAAGAAATATGCAAATTAGGGTCTTCCTATTTTCTAACACATAACATGATGATTCTTTGCAACTATACTGTGTTAAATGATAAAAATAGGCTCGTTCATGTTGTTATGTTTCCTGAGAATGATCTGCACCTCCAATACAAATAAAAGCAGGCATTTTTTCATTCAATTTCAAATATTAAAGCCAGTGGAAAAAAAAACAGTGTAATACACTGTATAAAATACAGAAAATGTTGCACTGACTTTGATATTTTTAAAGGAACAAATATAGGATTGGTTTTGTATTTTGCTCAAGGTGCCGATCATTCTTGGGAAACACTTTTCCATTTGTGTTGGAGCATACTGATTTTGCACCCTACTATGTAGGAAGGAACATGCAGACTAATGATGAGTGGGTCAAATCTCTTTCATTTATTATATTATGACTGACTACAGAATAGCTAACTTGCAAGGTTATTGTCAAAATGTAGATGCTTACAAACCCAGCTCCATTTATTTGACATGGCAAAAGAAGTAATGTGTAACTTGTTCTTGAACAGTATGAAAAGAGACTCCCCGACCCCTTTTCTAATTATAGAAAAAAGCTATGGTAAGTGGAAGTGGCAAGTATGTGATTCAACCCCACAACATTGACCTATCAATGAAATACCTTATTTGTATGAACTTATGCTTTTAATATATAATGTTTATAATTCTGGCACAAGAAGAAACAATATCTAAAGCTGCACTGTGCACTAAAAAATTACAACTGAGTAAACCGGGGAATCTCCGTCATGGTAAAGACAGTCTATGGTCTAAGGCTGCCTATGGTTAGCTTAAAGGATGAAACTGAAATAATATCAGTAGCAATTTTTGTTCTACAGAGTCATAATTATATTGCAGATTAATCACAGGAATCACAATAAGTTATTGTACGCAAGAATGAATTCTTGTTCTCTGTAGAATTGTTGTAATCCTGCGGTTTTAATGAAGAATTGAATTTATGAAATCCAAGGGATCCCAACAGGTTTGAAAGGAGTATTGCAGTATTGCATATTAAAAAATACATTAACCTAGATGTAAATATACATGCATACATGTATAGAACAAAACAA